TTTTGGGGGACCACTACTTGAAGAGCAGGGGTGCAGACATAAATGGAATTTGATGAGTCTGATGTTGAGGACAAGAGGAGAGCCCCCAAGATTCTGGAGTTGAGTTAAGAGCTGGGGAGCTGCAAAGTGGGCGATGTGGGCCTGGGGGTTTGAAAGTGGGGCTTTGCTGTAGTTTCTTTAGTCTGAGCTTTAATTCTCTACTCCATTGCCAGGCATGGCTCACATGGTGGTCACACACCCCTGAGACAGCCCCACTCTGGGAAGATGGGGCCTTCGCCTTGGCTTCTGAGGACATCTTTTCCTTCTGTAGGCCAGGCTGGATAGACTCAGACTTTAGGGCTTTAGCTTGAATGGGAGTCCAAGATGTTGGTTGCAGAGGATTTACTACTGGAGGACTGGGGGCCTGGGAGGCCTGTCTTTCTTGTACATTTCTACATATAAACTCAGTGTTGGGGTGAACAGAGAGAAAACTGGGGTCTGGTAGCTCAGTGGCCCAGGAGTCCTTTATCTGCTCTCCTGCTGACTCCATAGGCTTATAGTTGCACGGATCTCCAGAAAGCTCACTTATATGAGACTTCAAAACAGTATGTGGAGGTGGACTGGATTCCCAAACCGAGGATGCAGAAACATAACAGTTTTCGTTCTGCTTCATGTACCCTCCAGCAGGCTCAGATAGGACTCCTGAGGAGCTGGCTCCAAGCAGGTGTTGGGATAAGCTTTGAGCTAGATGCTCAGAGGCCAAGAAGTTATTTTTTCTTTGAGTGTCCCCACAACACACTTTAGATTTAAATAGGTTCTCTACGGGGCTAACTCTGAGGGGTGACTGTACAAGAACTGGGGTTGGGTTGAGATTCAGATATGAAGGCCCAGAAGACAAACATTTTCTTGTATGCTCAGGATCTTTCCATGTAGCTTCTGATCTAGAGAAGCCATCCACAATATTGAATCTTTGTGGTTCTATAAAGGGGGCTAGAGGTATGTGGGCAGGACTTGGGGAGTCAGACACCCAGAGATTCTTTCTCTGCCCCTTTGTCTCCCATAAAACTTTAGACTCTGAAAAGACTCTCTGACCCATTATTGCAAAGTCTGGCAGAGAGGCAGAAGGAAGGCTAGGAGATGAAACTAGGTCTGCATAGACACAGAGATTTTCTGTACCAGGTCTACCCTTCAGTGGAGCTTCAGATCCCAGGGGAAGACATGCAGGGTTGGCTTTATAGAACCCCATGTTGAAGTTCAAAGTTGGGGTTTCAAAGGCCCAGAGATTGCCCAAGTTGTCTCTGTGTTGCCGTTGAGGCTTGTATGTGGACAGATGCTCTAGGGGCCTGTGGTGTTCTGACAGGGTGTTTAGAGGAGGGCAGGGGACTGACACTGGAGACCTGGAAACAGGTGGGCTCTCTCTATATCCCATGCTTCCCCAGAAGTCCTTTGGTGCAGGACATCTTCCTTTGGGGTTAACATTTTCAACTTCTGACAGAAAATCTGGTGGTTGACAGGAGACTGGCATTAGGGGATCAGAAGTTTGGGGATTGTCTCTATGTTGTATAATTCCCCACTGAGCTTCATATCCAGGGGGAGTTCCTGGAGGGCCAGTTCCTTGAGGTTCTGTCATGGGTACTGTGAATTGGTAGGAGGCGAAGATTGAAAGCTTACAGATCTGAGGGTTCTTGTTTTTCCCTGTAGTTTCCCAGAGAGCTTTCAATCCAGACAGGTCTATAGGGTTGGTTCTCTGGTATTCTGTCAGAGAAGTTGGGTGTGGGCTTGCAGTTGGCATTGCAGATTCAGAGGCTTTTGGGTGCTCATGTTGTTTCATGGTTATCCACGGAGCCTCAAATCTAGTTAGGACTTCCTGAGGATTAGAAGGATACAACAGAGAGGCAGAAGGTGATTCTGGATTGTGTTGAAGGAGGCTGGGGTCCCCTGGCGTTTCCCTCCTGGCCTCAGATGAATATAAGAATGTGGAAGATCTGATTTTTTGGTGTTCAGGCTGTGAGTGTAGGACTTGATTCTCAGAGACACAAGGAACCTCTTTCTGCTGTGTAAACCACTGTGTGTTTACCTCAGTGTCAGAAAGGATTCCCTTGCAACCTATAGGCAAGGGTTTAATAGTGGAGGATACTGATGGGGTAAGAGGGGAAGGTGGAGATTGAACTAGTTGAGAACCAGCTGCTGTTCTTTCCAGATTTCTCATAGTGTGGGCTTCAAGGATAGGATAGTAAGTTGGGGAGTGATAATAGGGAAGCAACAAGTTGTACACAGGCAGGAAGGCAACCTTGTTGAAGAAGACAGAAGGACAAATAGACAGCTTTAGTGGAGAAGGGCCATCTGAACTCAGGAAAATAGTCTCCAAGGACTCACTGTGTAGCGAGGGAAGACCCCAGAAGAGCTGGCTTTTTCTCTGCTCTAGGGAATTTCCTGAAGCTACAGATACGTTGGTCAGGATCTGGAAGGTAGGGAAGGATCTGGAAGGGCTTGAAGGTTGCATGAATACTTGTTCTCCTAACTCTGTGGCCTCGGGGAGGCCTTCAGAACTACAGGATGGCTGGGGTGGAGCTGCAGTGAGTTCATTTCCAGTGCAAGTGTCTTGGGAAGGAGAATATGGTTTTAGTGGATCCAGAGATAATGATTCTTCTGCCTTCTCTTCCCCATATTCCTCCTTCTCCTCTGACTTTTGCTTCCACAGGCGATCAAGGAAGGCTAAATGGTACAGAAGCTGCAGTCCCTAGGGAATAGAGCATACTATTATGTGTGACATCTCAGAGACATGTGATGTATCATACATTCACTAGCCCTATGTGCAGGCTCACCTACCTCACAGCTCTGCTCAGTGCTCACTTATCCTGCTCTTCAACCATTGTTAATGTCAGAACCCAGTTCACATTTAGAGATCAGCATTTCACCATGTCAGGGTCTGTGATTAGTCTTTCAAATCGTGTCAATGAGCACTCACCCAGTCACTAATCTGTGGCTTATAATCACATATCTGGGACCACATCCATGACATTGACCCTCCATTTTGATCTCACATGCCATTTCAATAGTTATTCATACATATCCACATCAGTGGGCACCTACCTTGCCTTGCATCCTTATGTCTCCAGAGTACCAGGGCTGAAGCTGTTGCCATTTCCTGAGCTGCCGCCATCTTCGGATCTGCCAAACCGTAAACAAGAATAATATCACCAGACTTCCTGGGCTTTGAAGGCAGATGCTGCTGTGGCAGTATCTGCAGGCCAGAGCCTGGGTCAGCTGGCCTTGGAGAAGCCCCATGTCTCCCTTAGCCCGAAACAGGTCTTCTAGCAGCCATCCCATTTTCTTCAACTTAGTGGCAGTTTCTTGAGGTCATCACTACATCATAGAACACAGAACTCCCAACCCCCACATGGATCCCAGAGCCCTGTCCTGGAGCTTAGGGCCAAAATGTTACCTCTATCAGAGAGTGAAGTTTCAGTGCTGCCCTCGTCTTGATTGCCAGGATCAGAACTGTCCATGCTCTAGGACATGCATTTTAACATTGAACTATGCCATCAAACTCTGCTGTGAAACCTCAATCTAACAACTTAGTACCTCAGGGTTTTTGTTCATTTGTTGTTTTGTTTTATTTTGAGACAGGGTCTCTCTTCAAAGCTCTGACTGTCCTGGAACTCACTTTGTAGACCAGGCTGGCCTTGAACTCACAGAGGTCTACCCGCCTCTACCTCCCAAGTGCTGGGATTAAAGGTGTGCGCAACCACTGCTTTTGTGTGTTTAAATTTTATTCCTAGCACAAATTGGTTTTCTTACGGCATTTTCATAATACTAATTTTGGTCGTTTCTCTGCCAACCCCTTCCTTTTTGCAGGCTGGCCTTGAACTCACAGAGATCTGCCTGCCTCAGCCTGAGTGCTGGGATTAAAGAAAGGTGTGTGCGCCACGCCTGTCCTTAGTTACAATTTTTATTTCTGGTATGAAATACTATCACTCCCCCCTGCCCAAAATAAAACCCCCAAACCGAAAAACCAAAAAGCAAAACATAATAAAACAAAGAACTTGGGGAGGAAAGGTTCATCTCAGCTTACACTTCCACATCATAGTTCATCACTGAGGAAGTTAAGGCAAGAAGGAACTCAAGGCAGAACCTGGAGGCAGGAACTGATTGATGTAGAAGCCATGGAAGAGCACTGTTTACTGGCTTGTTCCTCATGACTTGCTCAGTCTGATTTTTTTTTTTTTTTTTTTTTTTTTTTTTTTTTTTTTTTTTTTTTGACAGGGTTTCTCCGTAGTTTTTGGTTCCTGTCCTGGAACTAACTCTTGTAGACCTGGCTGGCCTCGAACTCACAGAGATTCGCCTGCCTCTGCCTCCCGAGTGCTCCACCACCGCCCGGCTCAGCCTGATTTCTTAATAACATTCAGGACTACCAGCCCAGGGGTGACACCACCCACATGGGCTGGATCCTCCCACATCACTCATCAGTCAGGAAAATGAGTCATAGTCTTGTCCATAGTTCAATCTGCTGGGGTCATTTTCTTACCCGAGGTTCACCTTCCTGGATGTTAGCTCATGCCCGGTTGACATAATACTAGCCAGTACATTTTGAGTTACCTCACTTTCTGTATTTTCCAGTTTTTTCCATTTTCCAGGCTTTTTCATTTTTATTTGTGTGTACAAGTGCACAACTGTCATTTTTCTTTAGGAATGAAAATTCTATTGTGTATGTTTATCACATTTTAGTTTTCCTTTTTTTTTTTTTGCTGATTTCATGGCCTTGCTACTGTAAATAGAGCAGGAAAAAAAAAGAGATGTGCAAGTATCTCTAAGGTTGGGTATAGAGCCATTTGTGTGTGTATGCCCAGGAGTCATATGATAGCTCTTTTATTTTTTTCATTTTGGTTTTGTGAGACAGGGTTTCTCTGTAGCTTTGGAGCATATCCTGGAACTAACTGGTCTCGAACTTACAGAGATCCGCTTGCCTCTGCCTCCCGAGTGCTGGGATTAAAGGCGTGTGCCACTACCACCCGGCTGATAGCTCTATTTTTTTTTTTTTGCAGCACTGAAGTTTTTATTCATGTGAATTATTAAAAATGGGCATCTATACCATGTCAAATGAGGGTGGGAGAGGAAGGCAGGGGAGGCAAGGAGAAGGAATTCCCGTCTATTGGTAATACAGCTCCAGGTTCATCCCATCATGGATTTCATAATCTCCCAGAGACACGTGGTCCTTAAAAATCGTGTACCACTTTTTAAGAACGATCTTATTCCACCGGGTGCCAGTTTGAGCCGCTATCAGTTTCTTCAAGTCCCCGATGGTGTCATCGGTGTTGCACTTGACGCGGACTTTCTTTCCTAGACGGTCGTTACAAACCACCTCAATCATTGTGGCTGGACCTCTAAACCCCTCGAACTTATCGACGACACAACTCCTACCTCGAACGCCGAGCCGATAGCTCTATTTTTTAAAAATATTTATATATACAGTGCTCTGCCTACATGTATGCTGCAGGCCAGAAGAGGGCACCAGATCTCACCACATACTGCTGTGAGCCAACATGTGAGCCGCTCAGGACCTCTGGATGAGCAGCCAGTGCTCTTAATGGCTGAGCCATCTCTCCAGCCTCCATGATAGCTCTATTTTTAATTTTAGTTGTTGTTTTGAGAAACCCCCACAGTGATTTCTATTGCACCAGTTTACACTCTCACCAACAGTATGTAAGTATGGAGGACACAGAATTCCGTGATTTTCCCATTCATCAACTCCTTCCCACTGCACACTTCCGTTTACATTGGCTGGTCTTTGTAGTGACGGCTGTTTTGGAACTCACTGTATATCCCAGGTTGGCCTCAAATCATGGCAATCCTCCTGCTTCAGTCTCTTAAGTGCTTGGATTACAGGACTGAAACATCATTCCTGGGATTTTTCTTTTACATTTTTTCCAAGATAGGCTCTTACCATGTAGTCCTTCCTGGCTGGCCTAGAATTTGCTGTGTAAACCAGACTGACCTAGGACCCATAAAGATCGGCCTGCTTCTGCCTTTCAGGGTTAGGGTTAAAGGTTTGCGTATATGTTTTAAAGACATGGTCTCACTGTCGTGTGGATTGTGCTCAAACTGTTGAACTGAAGTAGTCCTCCCTCAGCCTCTTTAGTAGCTGGGACTATAGGCTTGAAGAGTAAATGTGTAGAGAGGTTCAACATCTTCAAAATTTGAATTTTGGGAAAAAACACACAAAATCATTAATTAAATTAGCAACCACATTATCCATACATAGTGAATGTCTATAGTTTACCTAAACCGAAGAGAATGACAATTGGTGCCAAGCCCTTCTTTTATTTCTTTTTGTTTTGCTTTTTACCATAAAGTTTAATTACTGTTCAGAAAAAAAAATGATGGACAATTTTCTCTGAAAAACTGTGTTGGTTTTGTGTGAATTGTGGTTATTTGGGAGTGGTGAGACCACTGGTGAGTTAAGTCACCCTGCTTTCTATTCTGAAAATGACAGAAGGTCTTGTTACAGTCTGTAAAGATATATGTGCCCTCAGCTGGCAGACAGTAAGTGCAAAACAAAGCTGTAAACCTAAGGGCATGCAAAAAGTGCTAAGGGGAGATAAATCTCAGAAGTGCCCAAAGTGGCAACAAGGCATGATTGGCTCGAATAGGAAGACCTTCAGACACCTTTGTCTTTTGCTCCATGTGTAAGAATGCGAATGAATGTAGTAGCTGGAATCCCTAGTTTGTCAATTTGTGCTTTCATGTACTGTTGATTCAATTTGCTCATCTGCAATTGATTATATGTTTGTCATCAGATCGGGTAATCCTTCTGAATGGTGCAAAGTCTTCTTCCTCTTCCTCTGTTCCAGGCTTTTTCTTTTGGGCCACCAACCAGCTCCCAAATCATGTTGTGGAGACTTATTATTAGTTTTGAATGCTCAGCCTTAGTCTTTTCTGGCTAATCTTTTACCTTAAATTAACCTGTTTCTCTTCAGCTACTTTTTGCCTCAGGACTTTTTACTTTCTTTCTTTCTTTGAAAGTATATCTTACTTTCAATGCTCCTCATGTCTGACTGCTCTCTCCCGCTCCCCTCTCTCCTCCTGTTCTTCCCCTGAGCCTAGATCCCTATTTATCCTCTCTGCCTGCCAGCCCTGTCTGTCTTTCTCCTGCCTAGTGATTGGCCGTTCAGCATTTTTTTTTTTAGATGAATCAGGTGCCTTAGGCAGGCAAGGTGAAACAAATGCAACACACCTGTACAACATTAAACAAATGCAGCACAAAAAAAGTCACACACCTTCACATAGTTAAAGTGATATTCTGCAGCATAAACAAATGTAACACATCTTTGCCTAGTTAAATTACTATTCCACAACATTCCTCTTCTTTTCATTTTATTTTATGTGTATGGATGTTTTACCTGCATGTATGTTTTTGCATCACCTGCCTTTCTGATATCCAAAGAGGTCAGAAAGGGGGTCGGATCCTCTGGAACTGGAGTTAGAGGTATGGTTGTGGGGAGTTGATCCTGTGTCCTCTGGAAGAGCAGCCATTACTCTTAGCTGTGGAACCGTCACTCTAACTCCCACCAATCACTTTTTTTTCATTTTCAAGACAGGGTTTCTCTGTGTAGCCCTGACTGCTCTGGAACTCACTTTGTAGACCAGGCTAGCCTCAAACTCACGGAGATCTGCCTGCCTCTGCCTCCCCTGTGCTGTGATTAAAGGCGTGATTAAAGGCGTCGCCTGATTCACCAGTCACTTCTTTATGAAAGCAACCTAAAGCATTTCTGGTTTCATTTCCAGGATCTGTACTACTTAGCTTTTCAACAAACATGCTGAGAAAAATGGTGAAATCAGTGGGGCTATAGCTTCATTCACCACAACATCCAGATATTTATCCGCTGAGTTTTTCTCTAGTGAGGGCAGAATATCATGTGAATCCTCTCTGTCAATGAAACCATCTGTTTAGGTCGTGTTGAAAAGCTTTTGGAATTCCTGGATCCATAACTGTTCACATATGGCAGACATACCAGATGTTGCCCTCTGAGGGGCTTGTTGGTGATCTTGGTCTTGGTCCTTTTTATTGCTAAAGGTCTATTTGCTCAGAGCTCTCAAGGGTTAACAAAAATTCTCTCTTTTCATAGCCCACAGTCTTTGAGAATGTTCATTGCTAGAGCTCATTTCTGCAACAAAACACTTCACCATGAGGAAACTAAAGGAAGAAATCAGCATTCGGAATACCAGCTTTCTGGTTCTGCTTTGCTCTGAAAATGGAAGAACCATGTATTGCTGGCAAATGCCCACCAGGTGGCAATGTGATACAGTAGAACAAATGTCCCAAGACCTCGGCTTTCTGAGTCTTGATTTTGGACAAATTATTTAACTTCCTGCGGCTCAGATTCCTCCTTGAGATACTCTTGACCTGTATCCCTTACAGCATGCTTATGAAGAGCATATGGCATGGTGGACAAGAAAGCACTTTAAAATGTACGATGTTCTTGTGCCAGCTCATGAGTTGTCATTGGCCACTCAAGTGCCCCAGAGCGTCCCACAAAAGACTGTTTTCGGCAGCTTCTGTACTACTTTTGCTTGCTCCTTCTCCATCACATGTGACCAAGCCTTAGAAAGCTTACCAGAATACAGCCCGTGAAACTCAGGACTTGCTTGCTCTTGTGGTGGGCCGGGGTGGGGATGAAGGGTAGTATTCTTTAATCTCTTCTGTACCGTTTTTCCTAGCATGACCCATGCCAGTCTAGAGCCCTAGTGCAGGTTGGATTGAGGTCAGGTGAGTAAGTCAGAGAATTTATGAAAGAAATATATGGCACGAAGAATAAAAGAGTCATAAATTAGTCTTCTATCCAAATTTGTATTAGTTTTCTTACTGCTAATTCTGTTTCCTGTTTGCCATGCAGTCCAGCACCACTATTCACAGCTGTAGTACCCTGGGTGCCTTGGAACTGAACTCAGAACACATGCCCCTAGGCAGTTATTTTCCAGCAAAGAGCCTCTTCAGTGGCATTCTTAGTTCAGGATCTCTCTCTCTCTCCAAATGAACTTTGTTTTCACAAGATAGGATCCTCAAAGGCTGGGATTCTGCCCTTAAGGCCATTTTCTCATTATCTCCATACAGAGCATAAGTTTGTTCATCTTAATATTTTATTATTCCATTTTCATGTGTGTGTGTGTGTATGCCTGTTTTTGCATATGTGTAGGTCCATGTGTATGTGTGTGCATATACACATGCTTTTTTGAGCATAAAGTAGTATTTTTGCAGTGTATCTCCATCAACTCATATTTATAAATACCGATTAATGCAGGAATCTGATTTCTAATTATTTCTTAAATTTATTTTTATGTGTTTGGGTGTTTTACCTGTATGTGTGTGCAGTGCCCAAGAGAGCTGTAGAGGGTGTTGATTCTCCTGGGACTGGAGTTGCAGGTTTGTGAGCTGTCATGTGGAGTAAGATAAAAAAAATACAAATAAAAATATTTATATCTACTTTTTATTTTTATCTGTGTAATTCCTTTGACTAGTTCTCCTTATTTCATGTAGATCTGAGTTACTTCTTAGTTTCCTTTATGTCAACCTGAAGGGCCCTTGAGGAATTTTCGGACATATTTACCGGTGAGTAATTTTCTCAGTATTTACTTAGGGATGTCTTGATTTCTCATTCAGGGTTTTGTTTAAGACAGAGTCTCACTATGTAGCTCTGGCTGTCCTGAAACTCACTAAATAGACCAGACTGGCTTTAAACATCCAGATATCTACCTGCCCTTTCCTCCTGAGTGCTGGGATCAAAGGTGTTATTTTGTTAGTGTCTGCCTTTAGCTTTACCACCCTTCAAGTTTCCCTCAAACTTGCTATCTCTAGTCTTTCTGCTGTGGTTTCTTCATTGTGGGGATGAAAGCAGTGACCCCCATTCCCTGTCTCCTTCATTTTTGATAGGTAGTTTTTCTGGGTATAGAATTTCCCTCCAACACTTGGATTATATCATATGTGATTTCTGATTTGAACAACTTCTGATTACAATCTGCTCCAAGCCTTACTGAAGCTGGATGCAGTCTGTCCAGCTTTGTGTCTTTTCATTGTCCCCACACCCACCTGGGATTACTCTTTTATTGTGCTGGAATTGAACAAGGCCTTTCACATGCTAGGCAAGTGCTCACCAATGATCTCCATTACTGAGCTTTTTGGGTATACATATTAATAAGTTCTCACATCAAATTTGGAGAATTTTCAGCCATTTCATCTTCCTCTTTCTCCTCCTTTTCTTACCTTCCTTCTAGTGCTAGGGAATCCAACCCAGGACTTGTGCACATTTCTTACTTTCTCTCCTCTGTTTCTAGAACTTCTGTTATTTACATTTTGCTTGGTGGTGTTTCACAGGTCAAAGATTTTCTCCCATTTATTTATTTATTTATTATGTATATAACATTCTGCCTCCAT